CGCGTAGGCAGTTGGAAAATGTTCTATATGGTTACATATTCATATGTGAGCGAGTGCGAGTGCGGGTGCGAGCGAGAGGTAGCGAGTTTACATAAGCCCCACCAAAAGCGAACGCAACTTTTTCCAGTTCGCGTGGTGGGGAAGGGAAAGGGGAAGGGGGTGGGCCAGGGGTTAGCTCAACTTTCTTTGCATACTTTCTGGCGTATGTGTATGCACCCCCTATACGATACGATCCGATCCCTTCGAGGGTATTTCCCATTCGGTTTTCCTCTACCGCCTCCTGATTTCCCTCCTCCCTTTCTTTTTCCGCCTTTTTCCTCGTTTTTTCGACATTGTCGTTTTGTAGTTGTTTTTGGCAATTAACCAAAAGTGGTGGTGCTCGCTCCCCCTCCCCCCTTCGGGCTTTTACCCCCACCCCTGCGCTGTCACACGCATGCTTTTTGGGAGCACCCACCCCCCTCCCCCTCAGCACTCCTCTATCACCCACTTGAAAATTTTTTAAATATTTTTAACTGCCGCGCTCCACTCGCTCTGTTTGGTTAATATTTTCTGTGTGTGTGTGTGTGTTTGTGTTGGGGGTGTCTAGTGTTTGCCACCACCCCCCTTCCCACTCCTACCGCATATGCGTAATATATTAACCAAAAACAAAAAGGAGAGAGAAGAGCGCCAAAAAAAAAACAAAGACACCAAAAAGTAGGTGGAGCAACAAATTTTAGCTCGCTTCTGACACTTGAAGCTTACTCTTTGGGCTCTTTGACAATTATACATAGGCATACATACGTGCTATAGATGGGGTGTATACCACATAATTAATAATTGGGTGCAAACTTACCAATATGTGAAGAATCCACTGGTTCCAAGTTTGTTTCCAAGTGCTAAAAGAGAAATAAAAAGGATATATTTAGTATCTTTAGTATATCTAGTATTTTTAGTTAGTATATCGAACGATCATTATCAATATTAAATAGTATCTTCCCTTGACCTTGGGCAACCCATTAATCGAGCTCATTTCCACTTGTTTCTTTCAGAGAAATCCAAACAAAGTCGAAAAACCGACTCGATCGCAGGTGAGTACCAACAAATTCTTTAATCAGGTGCATGGATCAAACCCGATAGCCCATTAACCCTATGAAACAATCAAAGGGTGGGCAATTGTCTTGTAGTAAGCTCGAATGCGATAGGCAAAGCCCAAATGACAAACGTGCATGTGAGGGATGGCTCACACACACACGCACTCACACACACGCACCCCTGCCGGGACACACACAAGCTCCAGCTATTCCTATTGGCTAATTACTGCGAACCGACCCGAACTGAACCCCCTCCCCCACTCAAAAATAATATGCATATGTGTGTGTGCGTGTCTGTGCGTTATTTAAAGCAAGTCTAGCAAAATATGCTGAAACTTTTGGGGCCAAAAACGAAGAAGAAACGAAGGCACCTACCACCCACTTTTCGCTTGTGTACGTAACGTAGCGAAAATCTAAATTATACTATATGCAGCAAACAACCAAACAAACAACGACAGCCGTAAGTCTATCCTCGTATCCCTCTGTTTGTGTGAGTGTGTGGTTGCATGCCGATAAACGAGAAATCCGTCTTCTAAGATTTTAATGCAGCTACAAGAAAACAGCGACAAAAAACTCACACTCGAAACAAAGAAAACCGTCTTAGTTTATTCTTACACTTGAGGGAACGTGTTTGGAAAAAGGTACGTACTTTCTTTTAGCTTCTAGAATACAAGAGGCTGAGCCTGAAATCGAGAAAATCTTTTCAAATGGCCCTATTATACTGGCTAAAATATTAATTAGTAAAAATAAGTCATGGCAACCGTAAGCACAACTGAAATTAAATTCATAAAATGTTTAGGAGCTGTTAACCCCTTTTTCTAGGGTTGTCACGATTTATTAAATTTTTTATCAATCCAAGCCAGTGTCATAGAGCTATAAATAATACAAAATTAAGAAAAAAATCGAAAGAAACCAAGTTTCGATCCTGAATTTAAATTCATATAATGTTTATGGGCTGTAAGCCCTTTTTTTCTAGGGTTGTCATGATTTTATTTTGATAGGACTTTTAAGCCAGTGTCATAGGGCTATAATTAATTAAGACCTAAGAAAAAAATTCCTATATTTTAACTGTGATAATTTGATATCCTTTTTTTGGGGGCCACTTTTATTTCGAGTGCATGAGAAAGGATTCGCGCGCGCCACATGCAGCTTAAATAATTTGTCGCATTTGCCGGCTGCCTAGTTGCTTTCTTTTCCCCTTTCTCTTCTGCTTTTCCCTTCCCCTTTCACCATTCTCGCCTACTTTCCTAACCCACCCATTTCCCATTCAGTGAGAACTACGCGAAACTACAACGAAGACGTCAACATTCACATCCTTATCCAGCTTCCCTCGTTTCCTTTCCCTCTTTCCCTGCTCCTTACACCACACACACACACTTGCTTACTCTTCAGTTTCTCTCTGTTTCGCCGAAAAAGGAGCCAAAAGATGGAGAGCGAGGAAAAAAAGAATACTTCGGGCGCACTTGTTGGCATCCCATTGCCATCTCGTCGTCGTCGTTTGCTTTTCGTCTAAGAGCACTGACGAAAAAAGAGAATCTCGTCCAGCATAGCATACTTCTTGGGGGGCAGGCGCAGGGGCAGGGGGGCACTTTCACCCCCTCGATGGGGGGATGTCCTGGCAGGAGGGGTGCGTCCTGCGTCGAGGCGCTACTGGTGGGTACTTTACTTGATGATTATGGCGACGATAATGATGATTGGAATGGCTTTGATGGCGTTGAAAATGAAGATTGCGTGTAGTAGATTTGCTCTGCTGCTTCTTCTTCTGCTTCTTCGACTGCCCGCTGTGTGTGTGTGGGTGTTTTTGTGTGCCTTGTATTTGTACATGTGTGTTTTTATAGAGGGGGCGGATTTCGGGTAATGCGTCCAACTACACACTATCAGCACTTGATTTTATTATGCCCATTTGTATGTGAGTGAGTTTACCTCAGCGGGGGGTGCGGTGGGGGGGTCATCTCAAAGCAACAGGATGATGGGTGGCCAGTGTGACCATGCTTTGGCTCAACTTTGACCTCCTAAGGCAGCTCCTCAGTTCTACCGGCGACTTAACTTTTCTCCGAATCACGCCAAAACTCGAGACTGAATGAAAGAAGGAAGCTGCTTGGATGGAGATGGAAGATGGTAGGACGGCAAGTAGTTGGGCGCCATTCGGTTAGCGGCGCTCGTTCGGTTCCAGCCGAAATCGCCGCAGCGTCTTGGGCAGTTAGTAACCGTTAAGACGTCGTGGCTGCCTAGTCGCGTGTCCTTCGCTCTCTCGCCGTCTCTCTTTTTGTTTTTGGTTGCCGTTTATGTTTGTGTCCTGTCTTGTCGGCATTCCGATTCCGGCCGGCATTCCCAAAGAAAAAAGCAACAAGGTAACAAGGATCTTCGAGATCTGAAGAATCGAAAGAGATACTCCACCTCTCTCCCGCTTCCGCTCTCTCTCCCTCTATCTCTCTCGCTCTTCTTCGCCCCGAAAAAACGTTGCATACTTTTTCGGGGGGGCCAAGAGCGAGATGGCGAGATCGCGTAGCGGCTGAGTGGGACAGAGCAACAAGACAACAAATTAAAATTTAAAAAACGGCTCTCCTCACACACGCACAGCTCACAAATACACGCACGCAGGGCATCCTTTTTTATTCGCTTGGTTATTTTTGTGCGTCGATTTCCCCTTTCGACATCGGTGGGCGGTAGTTCTCCTCCATGTGTGTGTGTGTGTGTGTATTTGTGTGAGAGTCCTCTTTTTATTTTCGTGCTTTACAAATTCCTCGTACTTTTTTTGTATTTTGTCGCTTTTCGCTTCGTTCTCGTCCTGTGTTTCGCTGGCGCTTTTTTTTAGCGCGCGCTCCGCTCTCGTGTCGTCGTGTAAACGCGTTTTTTAAATTTCCCACTGCTGCCGGCATCGCACGGGGGTTGTTTGTGTGTGTGTGTGAGAGGGTGTGAGGGTGGGGGTGGTAGCATGCAGTGGGGTTGCTTGCAGATGAATTTTTTCCACCGCCACACACACACGCCACACTCTTTTTTCCTGCCGCCGCCGCCGCCGCTGCTTCTTCTTATTTTCCTCTTCCCATTTTTCCTTTTCTCCTGCTGATTTTTTTTCACTTTTGTTTCAGCTGCTCTGCCGCTTTTGGTTTTTAGCATTTTTCTCGTTCGTTTTTCGCATTTTTGTTTTGTTTCTGATTTTCCTTTTTCCTTTCCCCGGCCTCTGCCCACGCCGGCGTCGCAGTCGCCGTCGCTGCCCGCGTCGCAGTCGCATCCTTTTTTTTAACGCCACACGCAGAAAAAAAGAGCAAACTTCGATGTGTGTGTGTGTGTGCGTGTGTCTCTCGCAAATAGTTGTTGCTGCTGCCGCCAGGGGGCGTGGTGGTGCGGCGGTTTGGGTGTTTTTGGGTGGTTTTGGGCCAGCAGCCAGCGAAATGAGTAATGAGTGTTTAGTACGTTGTTTGGCGGGTGATTTTTATGGCAGCGCAGCGGCAGAGGGCGGGGGGAGGATGTTTTTTTTTTGATAGCGTACTGTGGACAATAATCCAAGGGTCCAGTGCAGTTTGGCAGTTGGCAGCGGACGGTCTGCTAAAAAGGTAGCACAGCATTCGGGGCTATCTAATTGGAATTGGTACTCGAATTGGAATAGGAATCGGATGCGGAGTCCTTGCTAATCTCGCGCTCTCTCTCTCTGTGTTTGTGTGTGTGTGTGCGCTTCTGTAATGACTTCAATTGTGTGCTAAACTTTCTATTCCACGGTCGCGCAGCTTCAGATATTCAGCTTCATCAAACGTGGGCACCAAAACAAAGCTCCGTCGGCTTCGCTGCCGCCTCATCGAAACATCGCATCCTTCGGCTGTCCTTCGGCCAACTTCGGCTTGGTCCTGGCTGCTGCCTCTGCCGCTGCCTCTGCCAACGTCGCTGCCGCCGTTCGGCGACTTGGACTTCAATCGAGTTGGGTTTTTAAAAATAACGTTAGTTGCTGTTTGTTGCTCGTTACGTGCGCGTGCTGCGACGCGAAATTCAAAAACCCAAAAAACCAAAATACCACCAACAGCCAACCAACGGAAACGCAAACTCAAAACCCAACACTCAAAACTGAACATCAACTAACCAACCAAGTTAGAACTCAAGACACTCAAAACGAATTTCCCTTTTTTTTTTGCAAGTGCCAAGTAGTTAAACCGGGATTTTCCACACAGATTTTCCACAGTTTCTAAGCGCGCCCATTGTTGATTGTTTTCCTTTTTTGTTTGGTGAAACGCAGATATATATGACAAGTTGTGCAATAATTCCAAGTCAAAGTGAAGGAACACACACACAAAGCCCAAAAGTGATATCGCAGCCGAGATCGAACAGAATCAAAGTATATAACATCTGAACCAACCGAATAGAAAAGCAAATAGCAAATAGCGAGCAACTGCAACCTCAGAAACTCTGACAAACTCTCTGTTCTAGTGAAAGTGAAAGTGAGCTCCAGGATTCCAGAATTCCAGAGGTCTAGTTGAAGCCGGATCGCCGGAAACGGAACCGGAACCGGAGGCGATGCACCTGAAACAGCCGGAGGATCCCTCGCAAACAGACATGTAAGTGGTGAAACAACCAGATCTCAGATCTCGATCCCAAAAGTGAGCCAAGACCAATGCAATCTCAAATTCATGGGGGAAGTGTTCTCTGTTTGCGAGAACAACAACATCGAGACTACTTTCACCGTTATTTTAAAGGCAATTTCAAGAAAGGTTTCATCTCAAATAAGTAGAAAGACCAATTCTCAACCTGAGAATATTTGATCTTGGTTTTCTTCCCTTTCCAATTTCTTTTGGCAGACCTAATGCGACAGTCTAAAGTTGGTTCTCTCTGTACTTTGTTCTCAGTGTATTTTTACCTATTTTATCGTATATTTTAACTTCCTCTCAACCAATCTTCTTCCTTCCCTGATCTTTCAAATCAGAGTCCGCTGCGCTTTCAAATAAGAGGAACATGAAAATACATTTGTGTTTTTCAATATCTTAGAAACTTGGAAAGTAATGGAACGTGATATCTTCTAAAAATCTTTCGGAATGTTTTTAAATTTGACCCCGACCACTTGTACGCCCAGTTCTGTGCTGAATACAATTGGAATGGTAAAAATTGTATTGGTATTTCAAAACTATGTATTATACATTTTTTCTATTTAAAAAAAATAAAGAATTGGCTATATTTAAAAAATTTATTTTTATGTTATTTCTTGTTAATCATTTTATGTTAATCACATAAGGCAATCTTTTACTGATCTCTTGTTAGTTGATTTTTAATGATTTTCGAAACTTTCCTTTCCAATAAATCAAACTTAATACCCATTAAAAAAAATTATCAAATTCCATTGAATGCGTTTCGATATTTCCCTATTTTCGAATGCCTTCTTATGGTATCTTTTCTTTATCCATTATTTAGATTGTTTGCATTTCTCTCGCGCCTTCGATCGCACATTCCTCACTCGTTTTTTGTATTTCGTATTCCGAAATGGCACTGGATCGACTGAATCGCGTTCGTTGAACTCGATCAAAGCTTTCCTCTTGTAAACACTGCTCTTTCGGGGCGATCTCTCTAACGCGTTTCCGTCGTTGACCTCCTCGCATATTACGTATACGTATGGTATAGCCTGGAGATACTATATTATCTCCCTCTCTATAGAGAGGGTGAGAGAGAGTGGGAGAGAGAGCGAGTGGGTGACTAACCCACTGCAGTTCCAATTAGAACAAACGGCGACAAGTTCAATGCGATCATTTCGCCTTCGCAGTCGCTGTTTTCTGTTTTTTAGTGCTTTTTTTTCCTGCCGTCTGCTGACTGCTGCCTTCGACGTCGACGTCTACGTTGTGAGGTTGTTGTCGAGGTCTCCTAGAGGTTAATGCCGGTTGTAATTGCAAAGCACCCAATCCCAATCCCAAACAACCAACAAGGGAGCGGAGCTTAGAGGTACAGTGGTCCCTGCCCGCGCAACTCTCCTTTTTTCTGGCTAATCTGTGACTCGGTGACATTTCATTTGCGGTGATCTTGAAACAGCCATAAACCGAACGAGAAGCAGCCATAAAGACATTATAGATACGTATGCGTTGCACATATATATGTACTAAAAAAAAAAACAGTGCACTTCTGAATTGAATCACCAAGTTATGATATTATAAAGTCAAGATTTAACAAATAAATACATCATCAAAGTACAAAAATTCTTGATTTGACTCTCATAGCTATTATATTAACAACAAAATGTTTTGTTATAATAAAACAGTTTGGAATGCATACTAAAGACGCTCAATTTAGGCAGTACGTTTTCTTTCACTAATAGTTTCCAACTTATTTTCAAAATCTTGTACTTATATCTTAGAAAATTTTACTTAAAAAAGTAGTTTCCATTCAATTTTTTTTCCGAGTGCAACAGTACGTGTATGAATCAAGCAAGAGGTCACTGCAGACAGGGCAGCGAGGAAGGCGGCGAGGGGAAAACCTTAACAAAACAACATTTAAAACAATTCTCAAAAAGTGCTAGCATAAGTGCGAGACCAGCAGAATTAAAAAACCAAAATCGCCACGCATGAATCTAAAAAAAAGAGCAAAAAAAAAGAGCACAACAACAAGAGGATGCAGCAGTAAAATAAAAACGCAGCAAAAACAATGAACAGAAACACAAAAAACCCAAAAAAAAATGGGCAAACAAGATGCAAGTGGCAACAAGTTTCTCAGTCTCACTCCTCAGGGCCAGCAAATCTTCAGTCTTCAGTCTTCCGAGAAAGGGAAAGAGGGGGAGTTGGCAGGGAAACGGGAAGGGAATGGGAATGGGAATCTGGGTTATGGCAAACAGGGGAAACAGCCGACAGAGCCCATGTAATAAAATGCGGTAATGGTAACCAAAATATTAAACAAGTCTTTGGCAATATCAGCAGAAATTGCAATTTCAGAAGGGCCTGAAAACAAATGCGAAAACAGGCCGACTTTGGATTGGGATGTGGGCTATACTTTCAATTGGAAGCTCTGAAAAGGGGAGGGGTGGGTTTTTTTTGGAGGGGGGGTTGAGTGAGCCGAAGACGCACGACGTCGTCGTTTTTTCCGCTGAGCTGATAAACGCTCCGATCGCGCAAGTTTGTGTGCGTATATCTTTGCTTTGGAGTTACATAGGGCACACAGCGAAAGTTCCCCCTTCTCTACTTACAAATGCCCGCCGATCTGCAGTCGAAACATATTCCCATTGCCAATTTATATTTGTGTGTGGGCGGAGGCGCTCGTTGATTCGCTTTGCATTTCATTTCCCCCTCAATTTTTTTTCGGCTGGCCCTGTGTGACAATGAATAAACACAAAACTTCTAAATGGGCAATACCAGAAAAGTACGAAATATACGAAAAATACGAGTAATATACACACACAGAAGAACCCCCGAAAAAACGCAATTTTCGGTCGCTTTCGGCTTCGCTGCCGTCGTTTTTCTTTTTTTTTTCGATTTTTGTTCGTTTTTTGGCGACTGCGCTGCAAACTGCGCTGTAAACTGCAGCGATCGGTTGGCGGGTCGCAGATCGCACTGCTGCCGCCGCCGCCGACGTCGCTGCACTCCAAAAAAAGCGAAAGAAGCACACACAATCGCACACACGAGAAGTATATAACAAAAAAGCGAGCAAAAAAAAGGAAAAAATGAAAAAAACGAAAAAGAAAAGCAAAATATAAAAAGCGAATGAAACATACAGGCGGCATAAGTGTATACTAACACACAAACACACACACACTCGCGCACAGGGAATTCTCTGATTCAATTGGGCAGGCACACACACCATCAAATGGCCACCAATACACACGCACACACTGGCAGAGGGCAGCGGCACAAGCCCAACACATTTAACTGCATTTTTTCGGAACTCAGTTGAGCTTTTTAATTCGATCGGTTCAGTTACTAAAGTTAGTTCAGCCTAAACGCACAATTTCCAATTCCATTTCTAAATTTGAACTCGAATTGAATAGCATTAGTGCACACCCTACTGTACACCCTACTGCTATATAGACACCACCCTACTGCACGACAGTCCTTTCTATTTTTTTTGTGTTTTTTGTCAAGTGCACCCAACCCACAAAGACCCAAAGATTCAAAGACCTAAAAACACCATCCCGAAAAGGGAACCAAGTGCGCGATTCGCGCGCGTTTAGCATCCAAAGAATCAAAGAATCAAGAAGAATCTGATTCAGGAGCGGAGAAAGCGGAAGCCCCATACTTCACAAGTGAATAATCAGTGTCCAAATGCAGCGCCGCCATGAGCGAGGATGCGCCTGCTGACCGAGGTTACAATCATAGCCGCCAGGTAAGGATTACCAAGGAGTCCTATCCTCAGATCTCAAAGTGTATGGGAGGATGTGCAGTAACCTTCCAGATCCACAGATACACACTGAAATTTGATTCGCAACCATAAGAAGGACATTTGACTCACACAATGCAGCTGCCACAAGCCCTCTCCTTGGGTTCCCCTCATTAGCACTTTGATGGAGAGACCCAGGTCTCCTCTCTTCTCCCTTGGCCATCCAAAATTTTTCGGTGCATCTGCATACAAAGACACAACAGGGTATACCGATACAGATACAGATGCACTGCAGGAAGCAGGGCAGCACAGTAGCCTCAGTTTCTACCCCTTCCCTACCCCTTACCGACCCCTTACCTACCCCTTACTTACCCCCCCTGCACTCTCCTCCGCTGCATTGTTCGACTTCTCCGCTGCTCCGCCATTCTCCGCTTCTTCTTCGGCTGCAGTTAGTCGGAATGGGAGTGGGGAATCGGAATCGGTATCGGAATCGGAGTCAGAGTCAGACGCTTCGTGAAGCTCACGGCCAAGGCAAAGGCAAAGGCAACGGCAGCTGAGGATCTGCACTCGGCTGCTCACGAAGGCCAGTTGAGCTGTTTAGCAGGGTTCGGGAAAGATCGAAAGCCAGCCCGAAATGGCGAAACTGCAGTTTGCTGTTCAGCGTCGCACCGAGCAAACGTCGTGTGGCATCGCTCTCATCGCAAATTGTAAATTGTAAATTGCAAGTTGCAAATTGAGAACCGTGAATCGCTCGCGCAAAGTGCAAGTCGCGCTGAATTCGCAAGTTCACATAATATCCGCATACGCATTCGCATCTGTGAACAGCTTGCTTCCACACCCATTTTGTTTTCGTTTGGTTTCATATTTTTTTGATGTTGATGTTGATGTTACTCGTTATATAGTCGTATATCCTATTCTTGCAACCCACACACTCAGGACTCAGGCCTAGTCTTCTATCTTTATCTCAGGAACTCTCAGGATTAGCTCTATATATACGGCAGGTAAGTCACGTGAGGAGGGAGGTCCCATCGGCAACTTTCGCTTTCGGTGGGGTATTTCTAGAAATGGGACAACAACAGGGGCCAAATGGCCAGACAGGCACGCACTCAAGCGGTTCGCCCGGGGTCCCTAATCCTCCTCCTCTATCCCCTGAACACCTATAGAACATCCCCCCACCTTTTTGTTCTGTTAGTTGTTAGGGCGACCGAGACCGAGACCCAGACGAGTCACTCAAACGACAACAACACTCCAGCACCATCTCTATCCCCATCCC